ATCAACCATGTCTTTGAAATAAATCTTGCTTTACTTTTAAATGTGGATCTATTCTCATGCTTGGGGATCTAACAGTTTTAGCCTTTAGATGAGTCCAGGACCTCACGGAGGCAGGTTTCGGTTTAAAAGCTTAAAGGGAAGTGTTCGCTTCAGGGATGTTTTGGCAGGATACGTTGTTCTGCGCATGTGCAAACTGTGAATCTTTTTTTCAAAAAACGCCGACGTTCGCTGTTGCGCGCCTGTAGTGTGGATGCCCGGGAGCAATGTGCTGTGCGGTGAGAGAGGTACGTGTGATCGCGCTTGTCCTGGATCAAATATAGTCCGGCCAGAACTGGAGCAGTTTAAACCGCTTCAGGATGCCGTCTGACCGCACCCTCCCAGGAACGATTTGGCAGCTATTTTTTTTAAAAGTGTGTGACGTTTTTTAAAAAAAAACTAAGTTGACAAATGAAGGTTCAAATGAACACATTATCTCGAAACACGAATTCAAGTGTGTTTTCTGGCTCCACTGTGTGACACAGAGTGTTGGACCGGAGGGGCCACTGGCCTGATCCAACATGGCTTCTCTTATGTTCTGTTCTTATTCCCACCTGAAGGATGGCAGGGAAGAACCATGAATGAATCGACTCTCAATGAGCGGTCTATCACTCTATCAATGTATGTCAGTCATCCAAACTGTCGTATTATGGATCCGGTCACATGCAGAATTAGCCATGCAAAGGGACGAATGCCGGGCGCGATTTTACAGGCGTGATCACACAAAAACATCTGGAAAGCATCCCGGACCCGTCAGCAACCCGTATCGCCTGGCCAAAGAAGCGGAGTTAAAAGATACCAGGGAAAGTACACTATTTCCTGGAAAATTTAGAGTACAGGGGCACCTTTAAGACCAACAAGGGGTTATTCAAGGTAGGAGCTTTCATATGCAAGGCACACGATTTCAAATACACTGGAATGGTAGATGAGGCTCTAAACTTATAGACTTCACATGTAACATGGATGTTCGCTGGCAACATTACATCCAGCTCAAAATATACTGTTAAGTGCCCTCCACGCCTGAGGGGAGATAATTAAGATTCTGTTACTTCCCACAATTAGAAAAAGAAGAAGAAGAAGGAGAAGATATTGGATTTATACCCCACCCTTCACTACCCAAAGGTGTCTCAGAGCTGCTTACAAACTCCTTTCCTTTCCCCTCCCCACAACAGACACCCTGTGAGGTAGGCGGGGCTGAGAGAGCTCTTGACAGAAACTGCTCTTTTTCAAGAACAGCTCTTATCAGAACTGTGTCTTGCCCAGGGTCATCCAGCCAGGTGCAAGTGGAGGAGTGGGGAATCAAACCCGGTTCTCCCAGATTAGAGTCCGCGCACTCAACCACGACACCAAACTGGCTACCTTTAAACATTTATCTGCTATTTTGACATATTTATTGCTTTACAGCTGTTGAGCTTATAACTGTTGAGCACTGAGGTCAGGGTTGCAACATCGTTTGACCCTCCCTGGCCCGAAATAAGCCAGGCTGAACGTCACCAGAACCAGGGCCTTCTCAGTGGCGGCCCCCAACCTGGTGGAACGAGCTCCCGGAGAACCGCAGGGCCCTGCGGGACCTTTTACAGTTCCGCAGGGCCTGTAAAACGGAGCTCTTCCACCAGGCCTTCGATTAGGGGCTGCCACTGATTTATGTGCCCTGGAAAATCCTCTGGCCTGAAAACTAGAACATCTTCTGTCCTGAGACTTTGCTGGATGCCACTCCTATCATTGAATGTGATTTGGATTATCGCCATCATCTGTTGGTTTTATTTGTGAATTGTTACTGTTTTGGTACTGTATTTATTAATTGTTTTAATCCCTGTACTGTTTATGCTATTTTAACTTTGTTAGCCGCCTTGAGCCAGTGTGCCCGGCAAGGCGGGATACAGATAGAAACAAATAAAATAAAAATAAGATAAAATAATTATTTAGTTTTTCTCTTTGCATAACTTAAACATCGTCATGTTACATGTTAATTTGCTGTTGAAGCCCTGTCTATAAGTAAGGTCAAGGTCAAGGTTTCCCTTGCTCGAAAGCCAGTCGAGTCCGACTCTAGGGTTGCGGTGCTCATCTCCGTTTCAAAGCCGAAGAGCCAGCGCTGTCCAAAGACATTTCCGTGGTCATGTGGCCGGCATGACTAAACACCAAGGTGCACGGAACGCTGTTTCCTTCCCACTGAAGTGGTACCTATTTATGTACTTGCAATTTCTTGCTTTCGAACAGCTAGGTTGGCAGGAGCTGGAACTAGAGACGGGAGCTCACTCTGTCCTGCGACACACTCGGGTCTAGAACTGCTGAACTACCGACCTTCCACAGCCTGCAGTTCAGCGTCTTAACCACTTGAGCCACCGCAGCTCCTGTCTCTAAGTATAGAACCTCATCTACCATTCCAATGTATTTCAAAAAGTGTGCCTTGCACACCAAAGCTCATACCTTGAATAAACCTTTGTTGGTCTTAAAGGTGCCACCGGACCCTAAATTTGTTCTCCTTCAAGGTCTATCACCTCTGTCTTCACCAAACAAAGTCTGAGTCCAGCGGCACCTTTAAGACCAACAAAGTTTTATTCTGCATGCACACGAAAGCTCATACCCAGAATAAAACTTTGCTGTTTCAGACCAACACGACTCCCCACCTGAATCCATCTCTGTCTTCACTGTCAGCCTATGCCAGTTTGGTCATCGGCATAGTCACTCGCAATTTAAGGACAGCTGAAATATTTAAATTAGAAGGATTTCTGGCAGGACAGGGGACACGATGGACGCCCTTCCTGGACTGAGCTTGGCCTGCGTGGACGAACGTGGCTCCTAGAAAAGGAAACCTCCAACTGACCCCCGGAAATCCACCTTTTGGAAGCCGGAGACACTCAGAGTGTTTTGCATCCTCTCTCTGAAGAAACCAGATATTCCCCGCCCTGGTTCCCTCCCCGATCTC